TCATATCAGTACCTTCGGTAGTGTTCTTCCTCATTTGCACGACGAATCTGTCTCACAAGAGACTCTGGAACAATGCACAACTTTTCTCCAAACTCCAACATCTGTTCTGTTAACTGACAACAGATTTCTGCCATTTCAACCTGTGCTCTCAAGTTTCCCTTATCAGTAGGATGCACATACCTGCAAAAACATATATATCAGAAAGACCAACTTTCCTTCCTAACAAAGAAAAATGTAAATGAACTTTCTAAAGATCATTATAAGTATACCCAGAATATTTGCATGAACGCTTCGTTCAGTGTTAAAAATGTCAAATGTGGCAATTATGCAAAATCTTGTCTAGAAAAACTCAGGTACTGGGAATCAATATTAGTGAACATAGGGCAATAGATGAAAGCTCATAAAGGCCTGTAGTGTAGTACAAATTCTTGCCAGAAGTTCTTGCTTACATCACAGAGGAGCAAAGGTTATGCAACAAACAAAACAAACACACAATTTCATATACAAAAAATACTTCAAGCATAAAATTTTAATAATAAATAAATAAAGATTTTCTACCTTACATGTTTAGCCACCATGGGCCATCATCAGGAGGCAAACCAACTTTATGAGGGAACTATTTTACATGAGTTGCTATTACAGTATCACTGAAGGGACTAGTGACAGGATTGGATTAGGTCCAGACTGAGTGAATTATTGGAATGAAGACCAGATCAGATTGTTACATTGCCATACTATGGAGATGGAACAAATGATGGAAGGCCTTCGGGCTGAAATAAGAACCAATCAAGCTAAGATGGATTCTTCCTCCTCCTTGGCGGATGTCAACTACACCAGTCATGAAGAAATGAGAGCCGAGACAGGTTCTCTTGCATCCCAGAAGAACGTAAACCAAGAAAAGGCAAAAGACTATCACAAACAGATGTAAGCTCATCAAGAAAACATGGAGGCTGCCATACACTTCATCGAGTCCAAGTTAGAAGAGACCATCAAACATCAGGTGTAAGAATTCCTGGTGTGTGTTGACCACAGGTTGCTGGGCCTCTGCAAGGAACTTAACAAGAAGAATGATGAAATGCAGGTTGACAGGCAGTAATGATGTCCCTTGATAGTGGACAAGGAGCCTCCTGAAAATAACAGCAGACATGAGGAAAGATCTTCATGAAGAGCTCGACCTCATGACGACACAAGACAGAGACGAAATGATAGATGCTTGGTAAGTGAATGAAAACTGGAGGTGGAACAGATATCAGAGAGATCAAGGGACCATGTCAGGGCAGAACGGTTTGTCTACTGCCACTGTGCGAGCATCAGTCATCTCAGGAGGAATTGATGACTGGGATGTCCCACAGGTACAATTCACTGAAGAGAATGATCGACAAATAGCATGGGACCAGAAAGAAAAAACAAAGAAGAAAGCTATGCATTCAACACTCGTGCCTCATCATTATGGGCTCAGCATGTGAGCTGAAGACAGCCATGACATTTTACATGTTGACAGATGAATAAGGGAGAAAGAATGACTGGTGATTATCGACATAGGACCAGCAGCTACTATCACCAGACTGGACATAGCAGCATGACTGCCGGACAGAGAGCCATCCATGAAGTGCGCCCTGCAGACATCAGGGGAGACTCCCCCACCTCGGAGGAAGCTTTTATGACACTGACTCCAGGGCGGTGCCCACTGAAAACTTTGGTGTTTGTCGCCAATATCACCAATGAGTTCATCTTGGCACTGGATGTCCTGTGTGCCCACAATGCAGGCATGGACATGAAGCACCTTGTGCTAAGACTGCACAAAGAGGAAGTGCCACTGGGGTGCCCTGAGGGGCGACCATGTTCACCCCCATGTAGGAAGGGCAACAGTGATGACCCAGCCACTTGGTGTGGCAGAGTTGTGGTGGTGCAGTGCGGACAGCCTTGCAGCGATGGGTTTCAGGGCTGCCCCAACAAGCTGAAGTGGGAATGCTGGTACACTCCTAAGAAAGGAGTTGGAATTGAGGAGAGGAAACCACCAGTAGTGGAAGCACACTGAGAGAGATGAGCTTGGGAAAGGACTGTGGTGATTGAAATGAGTGGCCCTAATGAGGATGGACTGCAAGGCAGCAACATAAAACCAACCAATGAGGAAGGAAGGCTGGATACTGTCAAAACTGGAAGGTCAGCAAGACGCTGAAGTGCCTTCCACCAGGATGAATAAACATGTCACAGGCATATCTCCTCTGAAAAGAAGAAATGGCAGTACACCTGTAGGCTATTCAGGGTGAGCAACCTTACGGAGCAAGCAAGGTGGCATGTCCGCTAACAGCCGGAATTGTGAAGCCAGCAGAAATTGCTGTTGTTAGGCAATATCTATGTTAACACATTTCCATGGTTATCAGGTCTTGTGACCAGAGCTGTACCTACACGCAATAGAGGCAGACATCAAAACACATCATGTCCGTGTCTTCAGGAATTGTAGAAAGCAGTGTTTTCTATTGGGCCAGTGAGGAGCCCGTATCTGGAGTATCAAAACACAGCCGAACCAGCCGACTAGGTCAGTTATGAGTTTGCCCCATCTGGGAGTATGCGGTGGATGCTAATTCTTGAAATTGCAGCACCTGCAGAATGCTACTGGAAAACTTGACAGGTGCACACTAGTGTACAATTTGCACACAGCTTTCAAAATTCCTTACGTATATGAATATGTAACAACATTATGCAGCACACAGTCAGAAGTAACCCTAAACAATTTAAATCCTAATGTACAGATGAATGAATGAATGTACATGATACTGGATAAGGCGAAGCCAGGCAAGAGGCTTAAACTTGGTAGTGGTCTGGCCTATGAGTGTTCAGGTGACTAACTGCAGTTTCTGAGTAGTAACGTAAGTTAAGGCATAACAGCTAAACTGGATTCCCTGTATAAGGTATGCCCAGATTTTAGGCTATATTTCCTACCAAAAAAAAAAAGCATAAATATGGCCACCCTTTAAGCTAGTAACATGGCCAAGTATTTCTCAGATATATTCTTCGAGTGTAAGCACTACACTATTCCAAAAAAGAGTGCTGTGTACTTACTGAGGTCTAAATAAAGATGGTGCTATTATCATTGCAACATTATGAAGAGACATCTTGTTGTGCTTCTGGTTCTGAACTACTCGTGCTAGGAACCTGAAGACAGCACGAAGAGTACTACGATATTCCGCAGGCAACAGAAGAACCAACAGGTTGAGAGCATGTGCTCGTGTTGTTTCATCTGACAACGCTGCAATGTTATGTAATAATCAGTTAATTATACCTAACAGTGAATACACTGGTTAAAAGTCATAACTGGGTGCCAACATTCCTGCTCCATTTCTGAAGACCAGCCATCTTGACTGTGATTTAATGCATGGTGGAGTCCAGCAGTTTCAATTTCAGTAAATTGTAATATTCCATTAATCAAGAACAGGCTACAAATGTCGCCAGTCTGATATAGAAGCAGTCACAGATATACAATACACCAAATACTCAAAGAATATACTACGCATGCTTTGAATATTAAAACTTCAGTCATACAATTACAAATCAAAACAACTCAACATAATACATTGTGAACTGGAAAATAAATCAGTCACTAAATACTAATGTATACGATTAGCATAAAAGTATATTAAGTAGGAGCCAGCAAGAGCCCTATAAAACATTTTACATTCAGTAACATTGATTACTGCTGGTCACGGTAGCCGAGCAGTCTAAGGCATGCACTGTCTTCGCTCGCTTGGAAGCCGGGATCGTGGGTTCGAATCCCACTCAGGGCATGGATGTTTGTGTGCATTTTTCTGTGTTTGTCTACAGGTAGAGGCCTTGCAACGAGCTGATCATTCACCCAAGGAGTCCTACCGTATGTGTAAGATCTAGAAAAACCAAAGTGAACAGAGTTCATGGAGGTAGGCCTAGGTCCACTGGGGCTGTAGTTCCAAGGAAAAAAAAAACAAAACATTGATTACCTAAAATGTAAAATAAAAGTAAGAAGAGGCAAAATAGAATTACTCACAATGACTGTGATAAGTATATAATATCACAAATACCAAAGGGAATAGAATATACCACCTTATTTATTGTTAAAAAACTCCTGCAATGAGTAAAAGGAATTTTATATTAAGTACCTTTTTAATGAAGATTTAAACAGTTTCTTCTTGTCTATGATGCCTTTCAAATAGGATGGAAGCTGATTAAAAATCTTAATGCCCATGTAATAAACACCTTTTTGATAGACAGACAATCTTGGTTGTGGGAAATGAAAATTATTTTTGCTTTGAACCTTTGGACGGCAGAAATACATTTATTGATTTGGAGGTACAAAACCCTAATCCCCTTCAAAGCAGTCTCCTTGATAATGCACCACCATTGTTGGAAACACTTCTGGAATGCGTCTTGCTGCAGGGCCAATAGCATCTCTGAAGCAGATTTTCCCAATTTGCACAAGAACTTGATGTTCGCATGCTGTTCGAACTGCGACATTGGACCAAATAACCAACACTCATATCTAATTCAAGTGGAACAGTAACGACACTGCACACTGAAACCTGTCCAGACCTGTTGCGCCTGCGAGCAGACATGCTGAGCTTCCCACCACAACAGTGGGTGTGCTATCTTATTGCTCGTTCTCTGACTGCAGGGGAATTCCGGGAACTTTTTGACTGCCCTACGTATACCAGTAAATGATAGAAATTATGTGCTTTTTGGTCATCTTATCAGAAAACCTTTCTTTTGTGACCTCTTTTTTTTCCTTCAGAAAAAGCATAACTTTGCTCCATAACATATATCAAGGCTGTTCCAATGTTTTGGCAAAAATTCTAGTTGCCAATGTCAGAGTAAATTAGGAAGCAGGAGGAAGTGAACCACTATATGTCTTGTAGTGGGAGTGAGGGCTGTGGAGAGGTGCTCCTTCACATGTTATTCTAGACTTTTCAGAGGAGATGGCATTTGGGGGGAGGGGTCTGAACCATAAACCTTCCTTTCCAAATAAACCTAACCCTAGCATAACACAGTTTCTTTTACAGCATGAAAATACCACAATAATCTAAGAGCAAGGAAACACTTACCATGGGTTTGGTAGAACATATCAATATATTCGACAGATAGAAGAGGCTGGGGCAGATCCCGCAGCAAGCGTTTCAGAACGGCAGCTACATCATGACAAGTTGCCTGCTGAAGAAGTCTGTCTACTTCTTCCAATGGCCTACTATAGAATACAGCCTCCAGTTTTGAGCAAAGAGATGTCACCTTCTGCTGAAGTCCTGCAACACGCAGAATGCCTTCCTCCTGTAGCCCATGCCTCTCCAAGTGAAGCAGCACCTGAAAATTCGTATTTCATATTAGCAGCAACCCCACCAGCAGTTCATCATAAGCTTATGAGTAAACCATAGTTACAGTCTCAGGGTTTGAAAACATCTCTTTGTTCTCTTGTTCTCCTATTGACACAAGAACAGGTAAAGCTATCCCTGTAACAGGCCTTGGAGGTCCACAGGTTTGTGGGATACTGAGGCTCCCACATTTTCTAGGCAGTCACCTCACAGATGGTGGCAAGGTTGTCAGGCTTATGTGCCAGCTGCCCTTTAGCCCCAGGAAGATTCCTGGTACTCATTTCTGTTAGAGGCTGAGTCAACCCCAGGGCCATAGTGTGGCTGGAAGAAATGGGTCAATTAAAAATCCAATGACCTTTACAGGAACTGAAGCTCTGACTTTCTGGCTCATAGCATAGTGCCTCAAACAACTATGATAATGTAATATTTGAGGTTTTCACAGCAGCGACTATGAAGAAAGCCATCTTCTGGGATGTGGCGCCATTGTGTTAACTGATGTTCCTCCAAACTTTCTTCAACTATGATAATACGTGCCCTCCTAGTGACATTTATGTAAGTAGAAACACTGTTTATATCTGCTTCATGCTGTTATCAACTTATCTATTTGCTGTGTGTGTGTGTGTGTGAGTTACATGTGTAACATTAAGTCCAAGTGATGAACACAGAACATTAATATTTTATGGAATTTTATCAACTTACACCAGATTATATGATATTATAACAAAGGGCTGGGCATTAAATGAAACTTACATTGCAACCAACTGCAATATACTGTGCATCCCCTTTATAAGACTAGCACTCTTATCAGTACATTGCTCAGTGAGGCTTTTGAGAGTCACCTGGCTTCATGAAATACAGTTCCAAGTAATCGAACCTCTATTCAGCTAAAACCTCAGTCACACAGGATGTGTGCTACAATACCTTTTGCAGGTAGGACTATTTACTAGTTGAATAAATGTTCTTTCAAGTAACAAGTGTCCTGAAAGTATTCCTGTCAAATGTCACAACTGGTTCTTATTTTGCATTAATAGCCCCCAAGTCTTTCTGGCAGAGGGTTTCCGAAGGAAACAATTTGTACATTTTTATCCAGGTACTTCCAATATTCTTGGTGGTCCCTGCTCAACCAATAATTGACAATAAATACAACAAAAAGCTTTCATAGCAGTGTATGGCGCATGAACAGTGACCATTATGAAAGTGGGGTGGTGAGAAAAGGAAAGAAATTAAATGAATATGACAACAAAAACAATCAGTCAGTGTTTGACATAAACACAACCTGAAGACCCTAGAATGGCAGATTTTATTATTATTGTTAGTGGGGTGGGACTAAGTCCCTTGTACTGCAGCCACTTCTGACCTACTGTACCAGCCCCAGATGATAGGTGAGGGTGATTGTGGAGCAATTGGTGGAATGAAGATTGGCAGGGGAATCTGAAGTACAGGGTGGGGTGCAGAAACTTCCTTTTTGTGAAGATGCATTGTGAAGGGAGGGAGGGGAGGTCGCAGAAAAGTGGGGATAGGCTTGGCGAACGCAGCAGTCGCGGAAGTTTCTGTCTAATACCCCTCAGTAGGAAACATGAGGTGGACGAGTGAGCAGCGTGCATTTGTTGTTGAAGCTTATTTTTCAAACAACCATTCCTACACGGCGGTGCAGTGTGCGTTCCATATTCACTTCGGAATTAAGCCCAGAGGTCTGGTTCCCGAACAGAAATCGATTGTTTTGTGGGTAGAGAACTTTAGGACAACTGGGAATGTGGTGAAAAAATCATCAGGATGACCGTTACGATGCCAGTAAATGTGGAGGCAGTTCAACAGTCGATTTTGAGATCTCCAAGACGCTCCACTCACAAACATGCAGTCGCCCTAGACATATCCATTCGTTCAATGCGCCGAATTCTTCATGAACATCTTCATTTCCATCCCTATAAGATGGTTGTTGCGCAAGAATTGTCACAATAAGGATCCTAATTCGATGAATAAAATGACAACTGACTGTAACTAAACAGCTTAGACTGGTGCATTGTACGCCTGATGATGACCCGTAAAAGGGTCGAAACATGTTGTGTCTCTAATAAACATAATAAAATCAAATGTTGATGCAGTAGTATCTTCTTTGTTTTGAATATTGATTGTTGTTATTTAATCTGTTTCTCAAGATTCTGGCATGTTCATGGCACAGTTTTCACCAGCACATCAGGCTGTGAGATTAGCAAGTGAGAAAATGGGAAAGAGATGTTTCAGAAGTCAAAAGCCATCACTTTACATGATTTTGCCTGAAATACTACCAAAGTCATGAAATCAAAATGGCAATTCAATGATTTATGATATCACAATATTAAACATTTTTCCAAATTCTCATACCAATCTTGTCTCAAACTGAAAGTCATTCAGGCACATGATTAATAAACATGTGTATACTGTGATGCTGATATCATTAATAAATGCAGCACATAAAATTACAGCTGAGTTGTACCTTCTGGAAGATTAAAGGAACACCTTGGCAGTCTTCTGCAGTTATCAACTGGTCCCGTTCTAACAGTGTTGCCAGAGAAACACCGAACACATTACCTACTGCAAGAGAGAACTGACATTTAAAATGTAAAATCATAAGCTCAGTGACATGAATTTTATACTTATGATATGCTGAACCATGTTGTAATAAAAACTATGTGGAAAGGAATGATTAACATGAAGCACTATCATACAGTAATTAACAAGTAGCTATGGGAAGAACTAATTACTAATGTTCTTTCACTACATATTGAGTATCTGATACAAGACAGACTGCACAGGAAACACTGCGTCCAACACATTCTTAATCCAGTGTGACCTCATGCATGATAGCTGGAACAGTGGGGCCAGAAGAGATGACTGCTGCTAGGCAAAGGCTCACTAAACACAGTGGGAAACATTCAGAAGAGACTGAAAAATGTGTATGGAGATGATGCTGCTGATCACAGTACAGTTAGTCAGTGGGCACACAGATTATCTGGTGAAAGTGGGCATGCAAATATTTGGGATTCTCCTCGCACTGGCAGACCACACATTGCACAAACACCTGACAATGTGCAGTGTGTTAACTATGAGTATATGGTTTTGGAGGACAGACGTGTGACTGAAAGAAATGTCAGTCCAACTGGGAATTGGGGAAGCAAGTGTGTGCAGAATATTGAAACAGCTGGGGTTGAAAAAAGTTTGTGCAAGGTGGGTTACGAGGATGTTAACAGATGCCTACAAAGAAACCTGAAAAACTGTGTGCGGTGAACTCTTGGCACAGTATGAGAATGGTGGAGATCACTTTCTTGCAAGAATTGTGATCGGAGATGAAACATGGCTGCACCATTTTGAACCAGAAACAAAGTGGTAATCAATGGAATGGTACCATGTAAACTCGCCCAAGAAAAAGAGATTAAAATCTGCGCCTTCAGCAGGAAGAGTTATGGCTAGTGTTTTTGATTCAGAAGGGCTTTTGCTTGTGGACATCATGCTACAAGGAACCACCATTAATTCTGACACATATGTGGCAACCCTAAAGAAACTTCAAGCTCAAATGAGTTGTGTTTGACCACATTGGCAGAAACAGGATGTTTTGCTGTTGCATGACAATTCCTGACCACACATCATTCAGAAAACCAAGGACAAGATCACAAAACCTGGAAGGACAACACTGTCACACCCTCCTTATAGCCCTGATATGACACCCTCTGATTACCATCTCTTTGGTAAACTGAAGGAATCCCTTCGCGGAACAAGATTTGAAGATGATGCTGCCCTCACTACGGCCACTAAACGGTGGCTCAGATGCGCTGGTCCAGAGTTTTACTGCGCTGTCATACAGGCCCTAGTTCCCAGGTGGCTTAAGGCAGTTGAAAGGGACAGAGATTATGTGGAGAAGTGATATTTTGTTCCTAAAGGATGTATCAACATACTATGTAAGTAGTAAAGGCGTAGGATAAAAACTGAACCTTTAAAAAAATATTGTGCATTACTTTTGGAGTGACCCTTGTATGTTCTTGATGAAGAGCCAAAGGGATAAAAATGAATGCAGCCACTGGAAAATTTTCCTTGACAACCACACAGTATATTTGGACAGGTCAAAATAGATACTTGCCTACTTTCCGATTCCTTCTTGGTGGTTTACGTTTCCGGAATGTGATGCCATTGTCATCTAGCAAAGCTGTTGCCTCAAGAAGCAGAAGTGGCTGCAGCTTTGGGAGATCACCTTCTCCCAAGAACTCTATCCACGTTCTTCCAACTAGACTAGGATCTGAATATATAGACACTCCAGGCTACAGAAAAATAATAATAATCAGATATGCTGAATGTATCCAATCTGATGGCACATTTATGCAATAAAATCTGACATCAACATTCCATATGGTGAGACATATTCTTTAAAAACTTGGCAATATTTCTTTTCAGCTCTAAGTCAAATAGTGTTTACATTCAACTGCTACAAGTGAAAATAAAATCTGCATAAGAATTCATATGAATCTGTGGAGTAATTTTAGAGGTGAAACATTTATGTGAACATACATTGAACTCCCATACAGCACTGAGCAAAGAATTCACAAAGAGATTGAAACAGGTAAGCAAAGGTACACATTGTCTTGTGTGAAAAGTATTAATATAAATATCAAATTATTAATGGCATAAGTCCAGGAGGAGAATTTGTACTTCCTCTCCTCCCCAGGAGCCAGATAGGTAAAGATGTGTGAGTAACAATATGACACGAGGTGTAAGAGGAAAATGGAAGCAAAGTTTCATATATTTTTAAACTCAGCGCAAGAAAGAAGTGTGGGCAGCTTGATACTCCAGTCACTTCATCCCTAGGGAATGAGACCTTGGTACACATTTGATAAGAGTTTAACTAGATCCAGAGCTAGCCTGAACAAGGCCATAAAGAGAAAAAAATCCATCAAACAAACACTGGACATCCAATCCATACCTAACCACTTTACCAACTGGGTTATTCCCATGCACATTATCCTATTTATTTACCTTGACTTGAATGTTGGTAATGTTTTCATGGCTGGGAAATAAAGGTCTCTGGGGAAGTTCCTCAAAACCAAGATGGCCCTGAGACCCAGACCGACGTAGAACAGCCCTTGCTGCTGCTCTCTGTTGGTTTATTGCATCAATATCATTGTCAGGGTTGTACAAACTGCTGTGGCTACGTGAAATGGACACATGATGATCTCTGCCAATAGAAGGAAGTTCACTGTTAGTGACAAGAGACATCAGTCATGTTTTAAGCCAGTATTTAACCAAATGTAAAAGTAAATCCACCCACTGGAAGACAGTGACAAAACTTGGGTCACAACTATGAAACAGATTCAAAGAAATTAAAATATCCTTAGTCTCTCAAGACTGAATATTAAAAGAGGTAAAGACTACAGTGTTTTTCAGTCATCTGCATTACCTTCAGGCCTCTATGAAAGGGACCTAAAGAACTCTGATTTTAATCTTGAGGTGTATATGACTAGATTTTACCAGTAGGTTACAAAATTCTACAAGGCATCCAGTACTTGGTGATTCTGTCATTTTGTATGAATGGGCCTAACAGATCTCTGGTGACTACAAACAGACAGGTTTTTACTAAATTTATATTATAAAATTATACAACAAACTTACTTGAGCAACTTCTTATTTCTGTCTGCCAGTTTGGCAGCATTACTACTAATGAGGGCTGCTGCAGCCATCTTGGAAGATGGAACACTACTGGCAATCAACGTGGGTGATGTAGGGTCACTACCAGCACGCATCTTCTCTCGGGGTCGAGGTAAATGGATGGTACCGAGACGCTGGTATCCCACCATTTGAATGCCTTCTGTTAGCAAACATTACATATACAGCGTCTTACTTCTGGTTGTGAAACTACGTAGATAAACTATATAATGGATTAAAAGTTCATGATTCCCTAAAGGTGTGAGACAATGACTCATTCATTATACTGCAATTACAATGAATATAAAGTACATACATGATATTTAAGGAGTTGGCTCTTCCAAAGTAGTTTGATCACTGGTTGTCATTATATTGATAAATACTTTTTTATTATACTATACTCCATTTTGTTTGTTTTATTTTACTTTATATTGTGTCATCTCACATAATGCTAAGGTAGTCCTAGTTGCTAGCATATAGGTTTAGTCCTTGTATGATGGGAGTTCAGCTACACTACTTTAAAGAGTTTAAAGTAGTGTAGCTGAACTCCCATCAGTACAAGGACTAAACCTATATGCTAGCAACTAGGACTACCTTAGCATTACAGTGGTCATAGGCAACATATAACATATTGTGACATGTTGCGCAACGGAGGACCCCTACCTCCCCAGCGGCATGTGGCAGTAACGTAGCGCTCCCCCCCCCCTTCCGCGGTGACGTAAGACGGTGCGAGGTAACAGCGTTGCTAGGCTATACGCAAACACGGTGACACGGCACCGCTTCCTACTGTGACGTGGCGGGCGACCCTAGCAACAGCGAACAGAATAAAAGCCGGCTGAGCAGCAAGCGAGAGTCAGTGTGTTATCAACATTTCTCAAGGCAGCAGCCTGCGAGTGTGCAATAACTAAGAAGTCAGCGAGTGGAAGACTTATTGTGTGCTTTCGAGACTTAGTGAGTGCTGTAGTATAGTTATATTTGGAGTGTGCAATTCAGGGAGATTTGTATAGCTCCCGCGTTATTAGTACGTGAAGACTTTGGTTGTAGGGTTTGTAAAGTGTGGAAACCCGCAACTGTGTTATAACTAATTGTAGCCGTGATTTGTAGGCTGTTAAATAAACCAATTAACGATCTCTACGGTGTATTCAGTAACGAAACACGTTACAATATTGAATATATTAAACATATCTCAGGAAATGGATGAGTACAGAGGAGACCCAACAGACAAAATGATTACCACATATTCAAAACTTTATCACATTATGAACAAAGAAGCCACTTTGGAATCCAGAAGTCAATACACTAGAAAGTATAATAATAAAATAAGTCTGAAGACATACTGATGTAATCATACTGAATGATGGTCAGANCAGAGAAATGGATGGATGGAGGGGGGGGGGAAATGGCATGCAGCTTCTGAGAAGCAAACAAAGGGACATTAGAAATGAGACAAGCAGAGAAAATTGGGGTGGATTTGGAATGGATAGAAACAGAATACCTAGAAGAGCTCTCAAATTACAAGTTAAATCAAATGACAGAAGGGGTGATACCTGCTGATAACTTTGAAACCAGAGCAAAAGTAAAGAATGAAATTCATTAAAAAATGTAAGATACTGGAGACATATTGAGACCTGACATCCCTCAAGTGTCACCTCGGGGCAAACAATGCCAGAAGGAAAAACACAGATCAAGAAGATTTACCCAATGGATTATTAGAGTATTAAAAGTAAGAATAGGAGGGACTGTGAATGAAGATTAAAAAAAAAAAAGTGATATTTCCTATCTCTTCAGCCACTGACCACATCCCATAGCTGAAACAAAGTCTGAAGAATGCACGGGACATGTCTACTGAAAGCCAGAATTGTGAAGCCAGCAGAGACAGCTGTTGCTAGGGAATGGCTATGTGTATATTTCCAACAGTCTTCTTTTACCGGTTCTCACGGTCTCTTCGCTTGCAGATTTCTGATATTTTTTCTTCTACCCTGAAGATGGAGGCGATACGTTCCTCCGAAACGTCGGTTAACACCACATATACACGGTGCCAAATCCCAGAAGACTGCTTTCTTCATAGTCACCGCCGTGAAAACCTCAAATCTTACAACTTCGTTTCTGTTAATATCTAGCTTTTCCTTAATTCATGTACTTTATTTTTGTTTTTAAAATACTTTCACTATCAGTGTTCAAAAGAGTAAAAATCCATACAGGACCATATCATTAATAATTAATACACCTGCAGGTTGAAATGACTGCAGGATGTCCTTCGCCTACCCTGAGCTAAAGGGTTCATACTTGTGATTTTATATTTTAGAAATACTTAATTCTACATACAGAAATTCAACATGTACTTCTCAGAGAGGCTCATTAACGATGTGGGTGAAAGAACATACCAGTGTCACAGGCAACATCACCTCGGTTGCTACCACCAGTCCAGTGACCAACTTGACGGAACAGTTCAGAAGCACTGGCTGATCCATTAGGCTCTCTACGCACTTGATCTTTGGAGTAGCTACCATACAAGTGATCTCTCTCCAGTACAACTTCGTGACTTCTTGGACTAGTTGAAACAATACTGCAGGAACAAAAGGAGATTGACAGGTGCTTAAATAATGAATGACTGGATTGCTCAAAACATAATTCTAACGCTGCATTTCTGAAGGGTGGGAGGAGATATATGGTTTTACACTGACTTTAACTGTTAAATTTAGGGACTGACTCTTCTGAAATGTTCTGTGTTTTACTCAGTACCTCAATGAGCATGCAAGTGAAATGCTTCCTCTGTCATTGTTTCTGATTGATCACTGAATCATTCTATCATATCTCATTCAGAGCTATATAATTTTGGCATCTGGTATAGTAATGTCACATGTCAGCCAAAAGCCGGAATGGTGAAGCCAGAAGAGATAGACATTCTGTGAGAACGGTTCTGTAAACACTTCCATCGTTAGGCAGTGGCTCAGTGGATGTCATGCGACCATAGCGACACTTACATATGATAACAGAACTGCTGGAAAATGTGTTTTCTGTGCAGTATGCCATGGTGGCTGGGTGACTCTGGAATATAGCAGATGCAAGAGAAGGTGTTTTCTATTGGGTCATCCTGAGGCTATATCATGAGGATCAGGACAAACAAGTCAGTCTTCAGACAAGGCAGTTATAAACACAGGAGGTTGCTGTAAGATGGCCACCAGCCTGCGAGGACATGATCCCAGGAGCAAAGGAATATCAACTGTAGGAAGACATTACTCGGCCTTGAGACAGCAGTTAGTGAATGCAGTTCTTGAGTTGTATGGGCATGGGGAACAGCCCTTGTTAGAAGACAATGACCAGGCAACACCTAGTTCAGTTGTGAGGCAGGCACCAGCGAGCAAGGACTGGAGCCATGGAACATGAAAGCTGAGGAATCTACACTGTTGTGGGAAACATTCCAGGCAACAAATGGTAAGACACAGCAGACTGAGAGGACCTAGTACATCACTATTAAGCCTGCAGGTCCATGCAACTGTTACAATTTTTTTATTGCTCGAGGGGGTGTGCCTAAGTCCCTTGTACTGCGGCCACTTCTGGCCTAGTGTACCGGCCCCAGATGATAGGTGAGGGTGATTGTGGAGCAATTGGTGGAATGAAGATTGGCAGAGGAAACTGAAGCACTTGGAGAAAACCTGTCCCAGTGCCACTTTGTCCACCACAAATCCCACTTGACCAGACCCGGGATCGAACCCGGGCTGCCACGGTGGGAAGCCAGCGACTAACCGCTTGAGCTAAGGCGTGGCCAACTGTCACAGTTAATTGTAGTTACAAGTTCCAGGAATCCAATATTCATATTTGTAATTTTATTTGTTCCAGAAATCCGTATTTGGTGATACAGCCTCCAGATATAGAACGAGTCAAGTTTTATCATATACAGAGGTAATGTTGTCCATGTGCTTAACTAATTAAGAACTATGTCATGAAGATGTATGGGGGAGTGGATGTATAGAACAATGTTTTCTTGACCTTGGCACTAGCTGGAGGTGAGTCGTCAGCTTCAAGCCCCGGCTGCTACTCTCGGGGAAAGAGTCACCGGTACCCACTGGATAGGAGGCTTGGTGGGCCCCAGAGCCGGTCTGGACAACATGGAGATGTGAAAATTCTTGCCCTATCAGGACTCAAACTGTGACCCCTTGGTCGTCCAGCCCTTACCCAGTCGCTATACCGACAGTGATATCCCAGCTCTTTTCTATCGAATATAAGTAAATATAAATTACTGATCCAAACCTGCGTCTAGTCACTTAACCTGTGACAGTATTGTCATGCAATAGTGACAACACAATGGGTTAGCACTGCGAACAGATTCTGTTGGAAAGTGAACATTCTTATCCACAGTTATTTAGAACAAATTACAACTGTTCATAATCTGTTATATCATTCTTGCTTGGATCTTCGGTCCTCTGTTGGCGAGGAAAGCTTGGAGTATGAGGAATACACATGTTATAAATTAAAATTGGGGAGATATGCTTACTGTTAACAATAAAGTATAAAGACTGTACTCACTAGCTTGTAGTGGGAGAGCTAGAGTTGCCTCCCCATTCTTGGGGCCCAGATCCAGTGCTGAAAATATTTGTATCTCTGGGGATACACCATGGTAAAGGAGGACTGGGAGGTCCAACATCTTCAGTACCTGGATGATCCAGGTCTAGGGAATCTGGTGTAGCACTACGGGATCTTGTGCCAGTACTTGAATTCTAGAAACAAAACAATCAAACTCTTAGAAGCATGCAGACAAGAAACATAATATATGTTACCTGATTACAAGTTTGAATGACTTGCAGAGCAATACTGGCACAACAGAAATGTAATTAAGACTTCAGAAATAATTCTTATTGGTAGCCCATTGGTATTATTGATGTTCTTATGTGATTTACATCAGAAGGCCAATCCATGCCTCATCTGTGAGGATGCTAGTTGTGCAATCCATCTGTGCTACTGAAACAGCATTATTAAATAAGTTTTCAATGCAATGAGCTCACAGAAACACTGATGAAGTTATAACTTCATGGCCTGCTGTTGGCCAAAGGCACACACATTGCTAATTAGGGGTAAAAGTAGGAATTGCTAAGAAAAGAAGTTATGACTTGACCTCACTGTCTGAGTCAAATCAATTCCTTATCCTGTTTCAATCAAAAAGGTTATGAGTATATACGTGTTACAGCTTCCAATGCTATCAGCCTCTGTATTCAACATCAGCCTGTGATATATTGTGAAATTCTGCAAGAATTTAATTGTAAGACAAAATTCTGGGAAGAATTTTCCTCAGATGCTTCAATCAATATGTGGAGGCTAGTGAAAACTATAAATGAGTAAATATGCAATTTAGGGAGCCATATCTGGGTATAATTTACTACAGTCCAGTCATTCATTATGTTAAAATTATCAAACACAACTTCAGAGTTACAAATCACCGCAAGCAATAACTACAGCTCTTAACATATAAATTGAAATGTTTTATAAAAAATTTGTAGCTATACTTAAAATGAAACTAAAATAACATGATATACATATTGGCAATAAGTAGATTCTAAAGGGTCAAATAAAATCCATTACTGACATGAACCTGTTGCATAGTAACCATCACAAGCCAGTATGTTGTTTGTGTGGAAAAGGGGCACAAAGAAAAGTTGCTTTTAAAATATTTATGAAACAACAATGCTGGAAATATTATTTCATTCTGATGTACATATTTCTCATGTGTGTTCTTTGCCCTTCATACGTCACTCACCTTGATGTTTACTTCTCACACCAATTCGCTGTTATGAATTAAATTACATGACAAGAATTCATAAGCTTTCATTCCTTGCAACTTCTTAAGTACTTGCCATTTTGAAACGTGTAGATCTCAAACAGTTCTATGTTTCAGGTCATACACAAGTTTTCAGGAAATCTGATTTGAGCTTGATGTGAAGGATGGGATCAACACTAACCAATATTAAATTTGCCTACAGACTGGAGCATAACTCCCTCTACCAAACTAAACCACTAAGCAGCTTGCAGACAGACCTTTTCGTTAAGAATTCATTTTATGCCCCTTGTTTAAACGACACATAAAAATGTACTATACGTGCCTCCACATCCCGAAAGACATCCCTGATGTCGGGTTTCCGGGCCCGGGAGCGTTGCTGGCGCCCTCTTTGCCGCACTGTCAAGTTGAGTGTCTTGACACGACGTCGCACTGCCTCAGCATGGTGGGTCGGCAGGAAACGTAGTACAGGATCCAATTCACTCTCAGGCAGTTCACGACCCTGCTCATAAGGTCCTGTTAATTGAGACAGGCCTGCTAACCTAAGCCAGTCAGCTTCCTGTTCACCCTCTGGAAACAACATCACTGTCATATAGATACAGTTACAAATATAAACACAACACAAAGGTATAAAACGTCAGTGTGGAAACGAAGTATTAAAATCTTGTTTAAATCTGAATGCTACCATGGCCAATTTATTTCTTGGGAATCACTAGCCTACAGTAATAAAAAGTAAAGTAAAGTTATCCCTGTAATGATCAAGTCAAGGAGGATGAGGTGGGCAGGTCATGTAGCACGAATGGGGGAGACGAGGAATGCATATAGGATATTGGTGGGAAAGCCAGAAGGAAAGGGACCACAGGGAAGACTCCCCAGGAAAATTATTTAATTAATTCCTGGCACTCATTTCTGTTAGAGGCTGAGTCAACCCCAGGGCCATAATGCGGCTGGAAGGATTAGGTCAATTGAAAAATATCTAATGTCCTCATTGGGACTTGAACCCGTGAACTTCTGGCTTGTAGCATAGCCCCTCAACCAACTACTAGAGTAGGGGAGAGCAAAATAAGATTGTAAAAAATTCAGTTCAGCCCAAAATGCTGTTCATATACTACTGCAATCACAGAAAATAAATACAGTAGCACTTGGTTATAACGTCATCAAAGGGACCTAAAAATAGTGTCGTTATAAACGAATGTCGTTGTAACCGAAATGTGCACTTCCACAGTAGCCTTATGTTAGTCACGTAAAAATCTACCAAAAACAGAGTTAAAATGTTGCATTTTTTAGTGAAATACATAGTTAAGTACAGACTAACGTAACATTAACGTGGAATTGCCCAAATGTGTAATATCAAAGACATATTACAGCGCTTTTCACTGACAATACACACCGCACTAATACTGTATATTAAAGGTAGGCCTACTCACCAAATTACAGTAGATTACATCAATTGTTGTGCCTTACTGTACCTAGATAGAAGTACAGTAATCAGTTATCTTCATCTGTTTCCTGTTACTTGCCCAATACACACTTTCTAAATTACGTTCAATGTCCATATCAGAGAAATTCAGGAATGAAAATGACGTTACATACGAGGTTGATGCATTTGTGCATGTCGTACTAAGCAAGGTATAAAAACAGTTGCTTTATGAGGAATTAGTTCGTACCATTGAATATTTGACGCAATAGACAAGGTGTCGCAGAAACCGATGTTGCTATAACCAAGTTTTACTGTACAATAAAATAAAAATAGGGTTTGTTGTGAAGAAAAATTTGGGGGATCTCCTGTATGTATTTACTAGTGTCTATTATTCCTACAAGAGTGTAAGAGTGTGAAAGCGCTGATTATGAGCGTTTCCAGATTCAGTTCAGTGCATCCAACACCTCAAAAGCACTGATTGGTGTTAGGATACCATGGCTCAAATATTAATAATTTTATTTTTATATCTTTTGATATACTCTATAAAATATGGCCAGTCAGCAGGAATCATTTAAATTTGTACCACAGAGTTTTCCTGGTGAGGCTCCCCAGCCCACGATCACTTCTGAAGCCTCATTTGGTTCTTCAGTAGTATCAATTACCTACCTCTGGTGTTAAAATATCAATATTTCCTTGCATGTTATGCAAATGGATAGAACAAATTCTCATGCACACGTTTAACCTCAGCATGAAAAAATAAAATAAGCTAACAGATGTCTGGTATTTGATTTCTGACATGTATTGGCTGCAAAAAGCAATGGATAAAACTCACAAATTAGTAATGTAGGTGTGGGTTATGCAGTTTCTTTTCCAACATCTGTTGCATATGATTATATAATTAATCTAGGTAGAGCAGTACTTATTGGTTTGTTATTCTCGTTCTGTTTCCATGGAAATGATAATGTTTACTGTATTTTTAGTCCATATAAAAATACATGGCAAATTGAACATGGCAATGTATAAAAGCATATTTTGAAAGATATTTATCTGAACTATTTTAACACAACAGAGGGGGGTTAAAGGGGTGTTGAATGATGACAGGTTGGACAAATAGAAGGGAACTGGGAAAAAATACATGAGAAGATAGGGAGATAAAATTACAGACTACTTTTTCCATCTATAATGCACAAATTGATAATAGTAATTCACATGAACATGAATGGACATTTAATCCATACAATGACAGTTAAATATATAACATTTCACTAAAATTATTAAAATAGTAAAAATATATATATGCACTATCACAATGCTACATGTTTTGGTTGTATAAGGTCATCTTCAGGCAACACTTTTATAAGTTGAGGATACTAAAGTTTATAAAACAAAGCTGGGACTTCTCACTGGACTTCAAACCAGGATTACACTAGTGTTAACAAATTTATAACTGTTTACAGAAATTACAAACTTACCATCACAGCTTCGAGACCCATAATCTTCAACTTCTTCCAAATAATCATCCAGCAATTTTGTCTCTTGACAAATTTTGTACTCATTCCAGTAATCTTCAAAATCTTGACTAACGTCTGTTTCCATAGTTCTTTTTTTTTCTGTAAATTCTTAAGTCAGTCTTGGGCTCTCAGGAATCACACTTTCCTCTGGTTATATAGTAGGAGCCAGTGAGGGTCCTGCTAATGTAGCGTATGCCAACTCTACTATTCCTACATGGAAAGATAAGATAAGAAGAGATGAGATTTAATCACACTTGCTATACAAACCTGATATACTAATGTTACTTCTGATACCAGAGTGTACACATCACGTGATTTAAGTAACTTTATTAAAGTGCAGCTTAAGTATATGAAAACGATTTTCTTTACACATTATACACCTAATATTAATATCACTAAACGTTACAAATACATCTATTCTCAAAGGGACTATTTCCACATCCTTGCTTTTTTTACCTGTACGGCTATATGGAAAATAAAGGAAGTGAATTAATGAATGAACATCTATAATTGGGAGAGAACTTTTCCGCCCCTCAGATGCTTTCATCTCTGAAACCAACAACTGGATTATTAAGCAATTTTGTATTTTGTGTCTACTCTAAAATTTGTGTGGTGAATCTGATTCTATAAATTCCATATGATTTTTAATTTATTTGAAACTAATATGAAACTTAATTTTATAATAGAGTTCATCCCGGGAAATAATCAGCATGTCACATGACATACATCTAATTAAGATCTACTATCTTTATTTAAAATGCTTTGATATGCCGAATATGTAACAAAATACGATGGAAAATATCTTACTCCTTGAAGAGTACTGTTGAAGCCCTGAATTGTACAGATAACACACAGTAAAAAATGATAGAGGCAGGGTACACCTTATTTCCCTTTGCATTTCGAAAAGTGTTTCAAGTAAAAATCGTATACTTTTAGAGAGACAAGTTTTTATGTTGTATATTACTCATTTATTTGTGGTTTACCTTAAAACCTATACAGCGTCAAATGGTAGGATGATTAATAAACTATAGGAGGATCTAGAAGGAAGCAGTTGTAGCACTATTCCAGCATTTGCCTGGAAAGTCTGTGGAAAACCATGATAAACCTGTCAGATAAACCTGTCCCTGCCAAGATTTGATCTGTTGCACCTCTCGAATACAAGTTCAGAGCGTCTGGCCTAGTTGTATATTCAACTAACTCGATGGAACTATAGTGAACAATGGACTGAAAATGTGGACACTGTCCCTCCTGGAGGGACTTAAGAAAACTAAGAAGGATCTCAGGACTGCTCAGGACAATTGGTGCCCCGGCCGAGATTCGAACCGGCCAGGTCTCGAACACAAGTCGGAATCATTACTGCTTGAGCCAACCTGTTCGCTGTACACTGTGACGTTAGTTTTTGTATGGGAATTTTCGAAGAAACTGACAAGTAAAATTTCGCCTTAATGAAAAAGCACATAACAGGTGCACAGCAAAATTAAATTTCGCTCTCTAACTGTCCGACTGAACCACTGAATCGTGTTACTTGGTGCAGCTCCTGTTCATTTGACCAGTTCTTCCAACAACAGACGTGTATCTGCAGTAAATGAATATCAAGGCCAATGATTGATACAAAAAGGGAAAGAACGTAACTTGAAAGCGTGGCCCCTGCCACTATGGTTATTCCACCATCTCTACAGGCAGTCACACCCCAGCAATATTAGTATTCATCTCCAGTTATATTAAATATGAAAATGCAGCAACCATATCCAGCAACTGTCTCTGTTACCAGAATATAAACAGCTTGTCTGATGCCTCCACACATCCCACGGCAAGCCAGCAATGCTTCACGTCCACAACAACAACAAAAAAGCAAGCGCAACTTTTACAAATTTGGAACGATCTTGGCGCAGCTTCATAATGTCTAAGCTCTTAATTCAAGGTCAATTTTTAATCGAAAGTAAAAACCACTGTGGAACAGGTTAGCAAAGAGGCACAAATGCCTGATTCATTTTCGAGGGGTACCCGGTTCTAATCCTGGCTGGTGACTGGCTTCCATGTTTCACATTGTTTCGTGGTTTTCAGTCCTTCCTGGCCACAGGCAGACAAAATACGAACCGCAGCGGTGTTCAGATTCAAATTCTGGCCTTCATCAACACTTTTACGATATCACAGATGAAGTACGAAAAGCCTAAGCCAAGATTTTAACGAGGAGGCAAGAAATGGGTCCCTAGTGCATGCTCAGAGAAAGCAGAGTGTCCCATTCCAGGCTCCGTGTAAAGCAGGGCTGAACATCTAAAGAACTTCCTTCTGTTGTAAGTATACTCAGTGAGAACTTCTGACTATAAATTTCTGTCTCATTCATGAGCCTCTCTGGCCCACAGTCACTCCAAAATAGACTCATACGTTCCTCCAAACAAAAGCATGCCCTAACCAGAAGAAAAAAGGGGGCGACTTCATGTAAAAAAAAAAGGCATCCTAGCAAAGAAAGAACGTACCTAGGGACAAATATTCGTTTATGCAAATTACAGCTGTTGTTCTGCCATGTAGTTGAGGTGCAGCTGTTGCATACAGAAGTAATTTGTCTTCCATAATGTGAATTTTTACCAAGGCCATGGCGCTACTGAAGTTACCCGTACACGGGGGAAAATCAGACTATTAAAATAATCCGACATTTCCCATCTCATATTATGCTAACTAACGCCATGGAGCCACCAATCGCTCTGCCACTCAGGAATTTCCCAACAGTTTGTGAAACCTGAAAGTTAATTTACCGTGTTCACAAAATTCCCTTACTGGTCCCCGTCCTCAGCCAGATCACTCCAATCCTATCACGGCAACAATCATTTTACTCTATCCTTCCACATACGTTTAGGTTTTCATACCGGTCTTTCCGTCTGGCTTCCTTACCAAAATCCTATACGCATCTTCTTCTGCCCTGTGCATACTACATGCCCCACCCATCTCATCCTCCTTGACTTAAGCATTATTATACTGGGCAAAGGGCACAAGTTACGAAGCTCCTCATTATGCAGTTCTCTCCAACTTCCTATCACTTCATCTCTCTTCAGCCCAAGTATTCTCCTCAACACCCTGTTCTCAAATACCTTCAGTCGCTGTTCCCACCTTAATGTCAGTGATCACGTTTCACACCCATACAAAACCACAGGCAACATTATAGTTTCGTATATTATAATTTTTACGTTCATATTAAGCTATGCTATTTTAAAAGTATGTTGACCGTGATGAGGTATATCTTCCGTGCTCCTTATAGCCACCGCTGTGAGAACCTCAAATGCGACGCATCTTGTGTGCATTCGTCCTGTTTCTCCTTCACGTGTCCTGACTAGTTTCAAGCCGTTTAAGAAGTAAATCTGAACAGTACTGAGTTTCGGACTTTACAGAATACGAGCAACGATTTTTATATGAAATAATACAAAAGTGACAGAATAAATTAATGTGGCGCTAATTATATTCTAAGGAAGAGAACGCGCCAGTCGGGGAAAAGTTCGGCGGTAATGACACATTTGCCCCGAATGGAAGCTCTCACTAGAGGAACGAAGCTTTGCAGCCCTTCCTTTCAGCAGCACTACCAGTTACTTACAACACTTTTACACTGCACACGATTATTACTGTCGCGTGTTTCCTAGGCAACGCGACAAGAAATTGTGTGGGTCTCGGATCTGGATGAATATGTTTAGTGGACAATCACTCTTTACACTCACTAATACAGTTATTCGCACTTATAATAACGTCTTCAGACGTTTCCTCATCAAAGGCTATACGGGCACCAATAATGTCGGCAGAGCGTCTTGGCTCTTCGTTCTTCGAAGCTGGACTGACTCCTGCTCGCTCCGAGCAGGAGTCAGTATCTTGTCGGATACGAACTCTACTGGTCTCATGTCGAAGTTTGACTGTTATATCCTACACTCGTGCTGAATAGGGAACACCTTGTCGAAGGGTTTAGTTTCGACCGCTTCCATGTAAACGAATCTCTTGTTGCTACAGGAATAAAAACAATTCTGCCTCTGTTGGGTAGGCAGTTTCCTAGGTAGCAATATCTCATCGCCCGTTGCGCAGCGAAGGATGTCCGGCTTTCAGACTGCACGTCACATTACGTATAATACAGGATGAGCCGAAAGTCATTGTGCATCTACACTGCAAACGATAAAACCGCCCCATTCTTTAAATTAGATAAAGTTCGCAAAAAAAAAAAAAGCAAATAAACAAACTCCGTGGTCTGTAGTCTGCAAGCGAACTATACCGACCGAGCGACCGCCGCTTGTCGGCGAAGTTAGTGACAACTTTAGCGGTTAGAGGGTGTCGCGTGGTCAGCGCAACGAATCCCCACGGCCGTTAACCTCAGTTTTCTAGACTGGAGCCGCTATTTCCTTGAAACAGCTCCTCAATTGTCCTCACGAGGCCAAGTGGACCCCGTTCCAGACCCACTATTTCTCAGAAAATCTGATAGCGCCGGGAATCGCGCCCGAGACCTCTGGATCTGTAGGCAGGAACTCTGAAAAATTATAGTAGTAGTAGTAGTAGTAGCAGATGGAAAGTGGTGCTGTTACTAGGAGTAGTAACACAGTAACAGTAGTAGTAGCATCGTTAGTAACATCACTAGTAGTAATAATATCAGCAGTAGCAGCAGTCCTATTAGAATTAGTATGAACACGTGATGCAGGTGCTACAAAAGCAGTGCTCTTCGGAGCGGCAGTGGAGTAGTGATATAGCAACAGAATAGGCTAAAAGGCAGGGAAATGTGATAACGGGTCGAATTTTTTTCGTTTTATTTATATCTTATTCATTTATTGTTTCTTTAACGATGCTGTTCGTAGCTCAGAATTTATAGCGTCTAATAAGTGGATTAATAAACTGGTAAGCATATAGAGGGAAGCGCGCGCAGCCTAATCTGAGGTGCACCCCGGCATTTGCTTAGAGACGCTGAGGAAAACATCGAAATTCCTTAGTCAGGATAGCCGGTTACCTGGCCGTGGCTTGAACCAAAGATCTCCTAAACAGGATTCAGGAGTGTTGTATATTCTAGTGCGATATTCGGTATGGGAGCAGCAGAATATAGGTATTTCTTTTATTGCTAGTGGGATGGGACTAAGTCCCTTGTACTAAGGCCACTTCTGGCCTATTGTACCAGCCCCATGTGATACGTGAGGGTGATTGTGGAGCAATTGGTGGAATGAAGATTGGCAGGGGAAACCGAAGTACTCGGAGAA